CCCCCTCCCTCCGTATCCCTCTTCGCCGCGACATAATTACACAGTGAAAGAATTTGTATTACAAACGGTGCGCACAAGTTTTTGCGCGTTACTTTAACAAGATAAACAGGTTGAAAAGTAACACATTGCGTACGGCACTCTACTCGCCCAACACGACAATTATACACACATTTATTCGCTAACCATTTGTTTCGAGAATGCGCGAGACTTCGTTACCCTGGTAACGTAACAAGAAAATCTATTTTTAATTCCTTAAGCCATCGATTAAGTCGAAGAGACCGGAAAACGAGATATATCGTCACCCGTACGCAATGTGGTAATATGCAAAAAGAGAATGAAATAAAAGCAGTGAAATTAATTTTAGCAAGGTAAATATATTAATTGAATTACTAATTTAATTATTGTATTTGTGTGTACTTCTTTAATAGTATATTCCGCACGCCGAAGTGAAGTAAAAATTTCAGCTTTTTTTTAACACAAAATGTTTTACCGTGCGGGATTACGGCGAATTGTGAACGCGAACGCGCTGTTCCCTCCCGCCAAGTTTACCTATTAATTTCCTGGGTCAGTTTCCATTAAGAGTAATGATAACGCGATCATCGCAGCGCGATACATCGAGGAATGAATTAAAAAATTAGTCGACGTGGCAGGAAGCTTCGTATGAACATTGATAATATTGATAAGATGTAAAAACATGCGACGATCAAAAGGAAGATTAGAATACATGCGAGAGGCATGAACTCATTTAACGATAAATAGAAAAATTGTAACGGCGCGATAAAGCGTCAGGTCTGAATTTTGCCTTGATAGAAGAAAAGCACCAAGAAAACTGACATAGATAAGTACAATAAACCGACACCTATATTTCTCGACTGTAAAGTACTAAATTCTGCAAGACAGTACATGAACTTCGTCTACTGTGTGCAGTAGTTGAAGCTGAAGTGGCAGTTTCTGCCTGCAAACGCGTACGGTCGTGTTATTAGCGTCGCTTAATTTTTCGTCGTATTGAAATTTTGTTGGGCTTTCATCTTGAGAAAATCAAAATAACAAATCAGCGGTAAACAATGTATTTGACAATGCTACTTTATAACGCGAATTTCGAACTTTACAAACCACTTTGCATCTTGTGCCAAGATTAAAGATAACATGTAAAAATATGTATATATATGTATAACAAATCTATAAAATAGTGCAATTTCCGTGTTTTCATTTTATTTTTTATTTTTTGTTAGTAATTTCATATAAAGAAATAATATAGGTACATCAGTTTTGGAGTCGAGTTTCTAGAAGCGTTTCTCAAACATCCTAAAAAATAGTTATTTACAAAGAAACATGTAATAATTCTCACAAGATTATCATGTATTTTAGTAGAGAAGAGTTCCTGATTTGCATCCGTGCGCATAAATTTTAACTTTACACCTTCAACAAAGCCTTCAAGGCTAAAAACGAAACGGTATGTCGGTTTAGGTGCTTTTCCTCCAGTCATTCCTTCGTGGAGCAATTTGGCACGCGATTTGCCCACGCACACCGTGCGTGTACACCGGCGTGACCGCATACGCACTATTGTCATATTAGCGATACGAAGCGCGGGCCGCGTATGCGCGGTTTTCCACAATCCTCGATAGTCGGAAAAGGCGTGGTGGTGGAGAGCCGACGCGGGTGATAATATAACGGTGCGGCGGGACGTGCCTACACGTTATATAGGAATTGGTGCATGGCAAACGGGGCAAAATAATCGGACGTCGAGAGTTATGGGGCGCGAACCGGCGGCCGGTTAATCAGCCACCGATAATTATCGACACGGGCAGTACATCACTCCCCTTCCTCCCCGAAAGCGTGTGTCCTCCCTCTCTCTCGTACCCTCCGCGATCCTCCCCCGCGCGCTCCCGAAATCCCGCGTTGCAACCCCTTGCAACCGATCCCTCGTCGTCCGCGCACCCCTGCCCTCCCGTCCTCTACCTGCCGGCGGCTCGGCGTCCCACCACCTGGCGTGACAAACGCACCGCCGATACCATCATTTATTTCGCAAATGTGCTGCAAAACTGCCGCTATTCATTTTCGGTCCAGTCGATTCAGTTTTCCGCTCCGAGGGTCCGCCCTGATGGCCGTGCTCGCGCGCGCCCGCCCGCGCGCGCAAGCTCTCTCTGTGCAGTCGTGCGATAGTTTTATCGTTTCGCCGCGACGGCCCGATCGTACTGGCCGCCGCCGATAATGCGATTTCTCGGCGGTGATTTTTAACCGCCGAGCGCGATATACGCCGTATGGGAATGTTAAAAAAAAATTCCTCGATACGCCGCGCATACTACTGCGTTCGAATCGACGGCGATTCTCCTCTGAGATTAAGTCAAGTTCGACAAGGAGCTTCTATTTATCGCGCTGCGTCGCTGTCGGAGAAGGAGAAGAATTCGTTAATAATAATAATAATAATTATTATTATTATTATTAATTATTATTATTATTATTCTCATTAATGGGAAGCACACTTTAGTACATATCATTAAGCGAAGTTGTCGTAGACAAACAGAAAAAATTTTCTTTTAAATCAAAAGAATGAGTTAAAAGGATCAGTTAAATTAAAAGAAAGAGACACGCAAATATATATTAGTATACAAGTAATGATGATAATATAATTAAAATCCAAAAGCGCTCATGAAATCGCACGCGATAAAGAATGTTTAAATATTATCAAATTACCATAAAAATATCTACAGAATCGAAGAACAAATTGGCAGTTAGACATATGCCCTAGCGATATGAAATCTAGCGTCTTTTACGAAGAGGATACAATTGTTTGAATATGGGTCGTGAAAGATAAATCCTGGCCATAAATAATATTCCCAATTCGCTAGTACTATATGTTTTAGTGACTAGCATCAAGATAAGTAATGAATGAAACGGAGAAAATGACGATGAATATATATGAGAGTGATATAAAATCGTGATGTTAATAAATTAACGCGCGATCATGGCTGATGCCGCGACGCGGACGAGTAACGACGGAATAATGGTCGATGAGAAACTCCGAGTTTTACGAGATCAGACCGGAGTCTGGTGTCGCACGACACAACGTACTCGAAAAGGGGACTTTCTGTGCCATTACTCAAAGATGGCATTGGAGTCCAGCGCCTAATCTCGGCACATGAGACCTTAATGGGATTTTAAGGCGTCGAGGCCACCTGCGCGCTTCCCCACGGTCGACCTCGTTTGTCTTTCCTCTCTACCGGTTTGGGCATTCTTATTGCACTCAAGGACGAGACTGATACACCTCTTTGACCTCGCGATAGAGAATACCGCTTAATGTTACACTTCGCTTCAAAAACTGCCGAAATGCCGAGTACTATTCGCGCTTGCGTAATTTAAATGCTTGTCATCCTCGTAATAATAAATACATACGAGTTGATAAAAAATATATGTGATGTGTAAATGAAAAAAACAGCCGAATTCTAAACAGCAATGTCTGTATGTATGTAGAAAGAAAAAGGAGAGAAATGACCGCAAGCAAATCGTGAATCAATCATGCACTGTAAAAAATTTTCTGTTAAAAACGGTTCACCTAAATTCTTGTGTTATTTTAACATATATTGGAAATATGTTAAAAATTGTATTGAATTAACATATATATATATATTAAATTAACATATTCATCTTGTTAAAGTAACATAAAAATTCGAATGGACCGCCCATAACACGAAATTTTTTACTGTGCCCAATATCGATTCCGTTCAATTTAAAGCGCTTCACCGTCGGTCGGGGCGCGATCCCAAGTTCGAAATTTTGGCTCTACGCTAAACCTTTAATTCTACAACACAACAAGAACTAAAATAGGAAAATAGGCTCAATTTCAATTCTAATGATATAATTTGCTCTTACTTTTAACCTGACAACGTCTTGCATTTCCGTTTTCGCCATTGTCAGCGCAAAAAGAGTTATTCTTAAATAGTATTAAAATGGAATTTGCAGAATTAAGCATTGAAGGGAGAAATTAATAAACGTCAGTATCGTCAAAGTATATTTTCACTAGTCTCTCTCCCCTTCATCTCAAAGTATGCGCAAATTATCCTTAAGAGTGTCAAGGTAGCGTCAAAATATCGCCACACTTATTACAGAGATAGATAAGATAAATTTGCTTACGAGGTTTACACATAAGGAACACACGGTTTACGGTAGGGCGATTTCTAAAACGTCGCGTTTGATTGATTACAGGGTCGGCGTGGGCCGGGCGCATTTCGAGAAGCAACCGCCGAGTAATCTGAGGAAGAGCAATTTTTTCCATTTCGTAATCGCCCTTTACGATCGACACGGCCAACCGATCGAGATTGAGAGGACGTCGTTCATGGGCTTCGTCGAGAAAGATCAGGTAATGGTTTCTGCTATTACCCTCGTCCACGAGGGGCGCTTCGCGCCGTCCTTAAAACTTCCACCCGCGGATAACTGCGGCGCGCGAGTTACTGTCCTTACTTAAATCGTGATCGCGCGAGATATGATTCGCGGTTCTCCCCCCCCCCCCCCCCCCGGAAANCCCCCTCCCACGGAAAAGCTTGAGAAACCCGGTCGCGTCGAAACATTTTTCTCCCGGAGAGAGACGCGCGCGGGCGGGCGAAGGACGATAAAGGATCGCGCAGCGGAACGAGTCGACGGCGAGTTTGTGAGCACCGGTGGAAATGAGCGACGATAGCGGATGATAAGTTCGGAATTTCAATGCTTCACCGCTAACCGCGAAGCGCGCTCCCGTGAGGCCGGATGGAAAAAAGGAGAGGAGGCCCTTTATGACGCCGGGGAATATCGTGCGCGCGCGCTTATCTCGATAATTGCCGTTTCCATCGGGGCCGTCGGCGTCAAATATTAAACAGCAACGCCTACGCGCGCGTCTGCGTGCTCGTGTGTGTGCGTATATGCACGCGTAAAGCGTATCGATAGTCCGTGGAATCCATATCCGGCGCCTCTTTTCCGACAATTAGCCGGACAGGCGAAAATCCATCGGCCGCCGGTGAGAAATGGACGCCGATGTGAGCGCGATGCAGGATCACGGGGATGGTCACGCGAAGCGAATGACCTAGGAATAATAAAAAGAGAGAGAGAGAGAGAAAGAGAGAGAGAGAAAAGCGCCCTTCGACCGGCTCTCTCCGGCCGTGCTCGCGACGTACCTTCGATCGAAGATTACCGCTCCGTCGGGCGTTTGTTGGCCGGCCACTCGCGCGCGCGCGAAACGTCGGCCTCTCCGAGAAATTAGCGTAATTGCTGGCGATACAGTCCGCAACTAATTATTTAGCAGTACATATGATAAATTCTGTCACCCGTTTGTGTTTCATCGAGCGATATGCGAGAGAGAGGATACGTTTGCTCGCTCCACGTACGCTCCGCGAGCTCCACGGCTGCTTTTCCACGTTAAGCTTTCGCGTCGTTCCGGACACACTACGACCGTGGTTATCACTCACAGTGGCGAAGGACCCTCCGAAGTAGTAAGGACAACACTGATCGGAGATTGTGTCCGAACGAGCGTTCTTTCTTTTTTTTTCTCTCTCTCTCTTGTCTGTAAACTAGCAATGCACTCGAGTCGAGGTGGCAATAAATCGTGAGCAGCGTCGGGAATGACGCGCGTGACGTCGCGAATTGATTCAGCTCGGGGATTCGGTGACAGTTCCCACGTAGGAATCGTATATACATTCAGCCGGTACTGGAAACCGGCAAGATACCAGTTCAGTATATTGACATTGTTGTTATTATTATTATTTTGTCACACAGAACAATGCCCGACGATATACTCGATATAAAATATAATGAGAGTATAGATTAGAGTTCCGACAGTGTTCTTAGTTCTTAGTTCTAGTCTGCTATTCCTTTACTGCAAGTTGAAGCATGGTTGTCCACATGTCGAAATATAATTACTTGTTCCTAATTCCCTATATTGAAAAAAGGATTTGTTAACAATTATAAATAGTTTCAATTGGATGATTTGGTTGGAGTAACAAAATTATCCAGCTACACGGCACCAGTTTACCATAAACAGTACAGTGGTATAGCGTGCAACTAAATAATTTACCATTACAAATAATTTAAAATTAATTTAACTAAATGTTCGATAATTGTTGCCACATCCTCTCTTCAGTGTATATTTAATTCTATGTTCTCTATCCTTTCACTGTGTCTGAACCTTTGCAATACTGTCTTCCGAGTTTTGACCAATTGCTGTCGCCAGTATTCCACCAGTATATCAAACCAGTATACTATTCACTAAAAGTCGCTTACTGAACTAGTAACTCGTAGTTATCTCCTACTTGGGCTATAATTTCATTTCGCGTTTCGATTGGTCAGCGAAACGCCGACGAGGACGATGTCGACACAATGCCTCATCGTACTCGAGGCAAAACCGAGTCGACAGCTGCGCGAATTCGAGTTCCGCTCCGTGGAGAATTATCGCGGCGAACGATCGCGACGACCCCGAAAGAACGCCCTGAAACGGGACGCGATTGTCAGCGCGTTCAGCGTTCATCGTTAGAGCTCCACTTTCTATTGGTCAATTAGTACAGCTGTTTAAGGAGAAGTTAACTGGCGCGCGCGCGCGACGCACCGTCCATTCTTGCGCAAGAGAAATCGTTACGTTGAGAGATACCCGCGCGCGCGCGCGGGACAAACGACCGGGCGCGGATTTGCACAGGTAATACACACCGCCGGTATGTGTGTATGTGTGTGCGTGCAGAAGAACGCAGTATACGCGCTTTACGGCGCTACGTCGAGGATCGATCGATCAGACGTACGAACAAACGTAACGACGGTATGTGAGCGCGGGTGGGCCACGTAACACCCATACACACACACACGGTACACGCCGAATAACCGGCGGAAATCCAGATGCACGGCACGCGGACGAGCCAAGGTCCACGCGCGTATAAATTATCGAAACGTAATCCCGACCGTAACCTCTGGAATTCTGCGGCGAACCCCGCAGATATATCGACGACGCTCTGTCGGAAGTCCCTCTATCTCCCTCCGTGTCTTTCGCTTTCGCTTCCAGCGCCCCGGGCTAACGAGGCTATACCCGCTAATAAATCTATCCACCATAAATCGTCGGCTCTAATTCGACAGCGGGGGGCCGCGCGTCGCTCGGATCGCGGGACGCGTGATCGCGCGCGGCTTTAAGAACGCGGCGTCGAGACCTCGCGCGCCTTCGAAAGTTACACGCGTTTGCCCTGGAATTCTCTCATCGGGCCGATCCGTATCGCTGTTCGCGGAAAGGACGAAATTCCCCGTCGTACGCGATTCTCCCGGTCGAAATGTTCGCCCTGTGTCAAACTTTGCATTTTCTATAACACACCAGGAGCTGAGAGACGGCAAAATAGGTTGAATTTCAATTCTCGTGATACAGTTACTCCCGCTTTGATCCTAGTGTCTAAAATCTCTGTTTTCGCTGTTTTACCGTTAAATTGGTTTAGGTCAAGGTAGCTTTAGAATTAAATCTGTAGAATGAAAAGAGCGCAAATTGTCCTTAAGAACGTCAAACTAGCATCGAAATCTCGACTCGATGAAAAAGATGTAAGTTCAGGAAACTGGAAACTTATGTGCGCGCTTCTCACCGAACAACAGCGTTCTCGCGGTCGATTTGACGACGCGGTGTGGATATTTGAGGTGCCTACTGCGAACGCGGCCGTAAATCTTGCATTCAACGCTGCCCGACACCCGGATTCGCGAAACTTCGCGAAATTATATGAAGTTTCACAACGTACAAGCACCCGATTAATTATTCGCATCGCGATGAATATTAGTCGAGAGTCCCTCTCGGCGCTCTCCTTTTCGAAGCCCGTCGCACCACCTTTTCGTGAATCCATAACGTTCCGGTTGGTCTCCGCTCCTCTCTCCCCGCCCATCCGGACCTTATAATACGTGCATAATTCACGTTGTCGGGACAGTTGCATCGCGTGGCCTCCCTATTAATTAGGGTCATGCACCGCGGACATGCATCAACCTCGTGCCGAGTACCGTTTCTACCTCGGTCCACGCATCTCCTCCTTCCCCGCTCTATTGCCGATCTTAATCGGGATTGTGTATTTCACTATAGTTACCTATAGTAAATATATGTGTCGAGTCTCTGTCACGTGCCTCGATAATTATTTAACAACGGAGAAAAAATTTGCAAGAAGAATGCGTGTGTGTGAACAGCATATATTAATACCAATCAAATGATTAAAATATAAAATACATCGAGGACTGAACGGGAAATGTGACTGTAACTTGTATAAAAAATTTTCTGCAAACTAATTGGGATCCAGTCCCATTGGCCAAATTAATTATGGATTCTGGTTAGGAAATCTATACAATAAAGAACATTTTGTACTTGTGCCAAAAGCAGTCCTTGTTCACATTTTTGTGTTATGTTTCTAACATATCCGTGTGTTGATTTAACATATGTTAAATTTAACAAAAAAGATGTTTTACCGTGTACGCAGGTTCTGGTTAGAAATGTAACGTTTCGAAAACACGATTCTAAGAGAGAGAGAAGCATAAACAGATTCTATTTGGTAACCCCCGACGTTTTCCCAAAGATTGTTTCTAATTTTCATTTTACTATTAACACTCAGAGTTAATCCTCTCATAAATCTCGATAACATCTTTCACATATTTCCTCGACAATTTTAAGATTTATCGTATAATGCAAAAGGCGTGAAAAAAAAAACCGGCACTTGATATCTGCGTCGGAGATACAACACAACCGCTTATCACAGGCGAGACAATGTAAGAAGAGGTAAATTGAGTCACTAAACCATAGACACGAGCCGGCTACTCGACGACGCTCGTACGCCCCCGGAAATGAACGCTCTAGGTAAATACCTAGCGTCTCCTCGTTTCGTCCGCTTTTTGTTCGTGTTTAATTAAAAAGCAGTCAGCGGAGGAAGAGAGAGTGGTTCGACCTATCCGCGTGTATATCTGATTAACGTCCTTCGTGCGCCGGACGAATTTAGAGATTAATGGCTGCGACGAACGCCGACGACAGGAAAGAGCTTAATGCGTGCGTTCTCGGAGCGCGCAATGGAAAAAAGGGGAGAAAGACGTTCGTCCGATCGAGACCGAAGTAGGACCGATTATCCGATGAAGCGAGCGCGCCAACCGGCCGGAGAGAACCGCCGGCTTCGTTAGAAAAATGATCGCTTCGTACCGTTCGTTCGTTCGCAGAGAAATCTCGCGATGGATTTATGCGGTTTTCTTATCCGTGTCGGCTATTCTCGTGCTTAAGCTGATAAGTCGTAATCCCGATATCTTCGCTGGAACTCGTGCACGTCAAAATGAGACAGTAGCGCTCGGGATACCCTCGGCGGATCAAAAGGAACGAGACCGCTCGTGTGTGTAACAGAAAATATTAAAATAAAACAAATCTAAGCCTCTCTCTCCTTCTCTCTCTCTTGCGATAAAATATTAAAGTTAAACGTCTATCAGTACTTTACATATGAATTTCTAGAAAACTTGATGGTCAACAGCCTTGTAACTTTTTTTATATTATTTCTACAAGTATCCCTTATCGTCTTCTCGTTTTTCATTGCAGCGGTAAGAACAGTCGCTAGAATTAAAAACGTGATATCGAAAGTCGCACTTGTTATACGTTATGTTAGCTTCGAATATGATCAATCTTTTTTTAATTTTGCACGTGCGTAGACCGTGTTTGCATTAATATATCGATAAAATTTGAAAAAAATTCCCGTAAAAAGTAGATCAACGTCTACGAGCTATCTTGAGAAACTAACGACAAATTAACCGGAACCGCTCGGCCGGAAGAATTCCAGATAATCGCGCGGCGCCGTTCACGTGCAGGGGAACGGCGAGTCGGAGTTTTCCAACGCGTCTACGCGCGTATAATTACGTTAACTCGACGTGAAATCGATCGGCACCGCCGGCGTTTATCCTCGAGTCGAAAGGTCGTGAGCACGACTAAAAGTCGTGGCCGCGTAGCGCACGCCGGTCGTGGGTGTACCGACCATGATGTTCCGGGGGGTAGGTAGTTGAAAATGCATTACCGCGGTCGCGGCATATGGCACGATGCACGCATGACTCGTCAACGGGGCAGGATGATAATTATGCATCGCACGCCATACGTAATGGCATGGCTCTTACCGGCGCATCAAGAAATTAATAATTAGCGTGAGGTGGAGCAGGCCAGGCGAGCGGGCGCGCGCGCGCGCGCACAGGCGTTGCGTCACGGTGCACTTAATTAAAATAGAACGGAGCGCGCGAAGAACGCAAAACCGCTCGCGTACGCGATAGAGCTGCAACGCGCGAGCTGTTGGCTTCGAAGCCGAGCCGGTCTGCAGATAAAATTTGCAGATAAAAAGGCGTAAACAATCCGCTGTTAATTGGCGTAATTCATGTCCCATTATTTCTCGTCACGATCGGAAATGCACGTAATCTGACTGTGTCCCTCTTCTTGCAGGAATCCGAGGGCCAAAAGACGAATAACGGCATCCAGTACAGTTTGCATCTGCTCTATTCCAATGGTAAGTGAGAAGTATACATTCCGAGACTAATATCGGTGTTCATAATCGGATCTTATATATGAGGCCTCCTTAATCCAGGAATAGTCACTTGATTTTTTTTCCATATAAACGATCACGAACATTTGATGTGGTTATTCGGTTTCTTAAATATCTTTTCGGTTTCCTCTCATTTTTTTTTCGAAAAATTTTTTCGAAAAATTTATATTTATAGTGTCCCTAAATAACAGTAAATCATACATCAATTGATAATATGCCACGTTTTGTTAATAATAATAGCGACTTTTATTCGGAGTCTAAATGATCCCAGGTGACTATTCCCGGGTTAAATTCATCTTCAGATGCTTCGCAGCCAATAAAATGAGCCGCACAGTGTCTGAAGTTGAATTTAAGAAGGCCTCAAATGCCAGGTCTGACCATGAATGACCGGCATAAGTATACGATTTTTCCCGACTCGGCATTCAAATTAACCTCAGCGGTCCTTCGGCTACTTAAACGTGACGCATGCGCCGCTGCGAATTGTCAACAGACCGTGGTCGACTCCATAATTCATTTTTCCACCTGGTCAATTATGTAACGACCAACGCGTCGCGTATTTGCGCGAAATATTAACACACCCATTTTCGATCAAATGATGCGCGTGTACGACCGGTGGCCCCGAGCCGTACTCATTCTCTCGCGTAGGCGTTGCGATCGCAGAACCAGGCTCCCTTGAATCGATCCGCGAAAAACGCGTATTCTCAGGGCCAGACGTAATAGCCCCATCCGAGCGGCGCAGCGACAGACGACGATGACGGGCCATCGACATTCCACGCGGACACCCGGTCTCTTAGGGCCGGGCTAAAAAGCTCAGGAGAGAACTTTCGAGGCCCGGTCGACGCAACAGAGACATATTTTACGTCACACCGGCCGATGCGCGGCAAAAAGGCCAGCCCGGACAGAGCAGCTTCCGTCTCGAAGAAGCGCAGACCGAATGTCGCAGGGGGACGCGCAAAGGGGCCCGAGAGAGAAAGAGAGAGACGCGCAAAAGGAATCGAAAGAAGCGAATGGTTCGAAGGTGGTCCGGGAAGTGGGGGACGGGGGGAGGTCCCAAAAACGCGGCCGCATTATGAACACATTAAAAAGCCGCAAGGCGCTAGCTGGGGATTCGCCGGCTCGGCAGTTTTTCGCTCCATATACGCCACGAGTAACGTCAACACGGGCTCGTCTCTTTATCCCCCGATTCTTACCGGCGACGCGGCCGCCACGAAACCACCCCTCTCGTCGGGCCTTTCTTCTGGCTCTGCCGTGCCTTTCCCGTCCTTCTTTTTCCCGCGACTCGCTCACGCCGCCCGCCCCTCCCCGGTTCGCCAATGGGCCCGATCAATCAATGCAAGATTTTTGCGTTGACCGGTCCGACCTGTGAGGGTCCGCGCGCTGCCATCTAAGGACACTAAAACGTGTCGCGAACATCTCGGACAAGAAACAACTAACTGTTGCAAACTATGGAATAGGGAGGCGCGCGCGCGCCTCGCGCACACCGTCACCGGGTCGGCCGAGTTCTTCGTCTCTCTCACGCCTTCTTTCGCCGTTCGTTCTGGCGATTCTCCGCCGCGAGGGAGAGAGAAGAGCGCATTCTCTCGTCGTCTACTCGCTCGTGTCCTTGCCTCTCCTTATCGTCATGCAATTTGGTCCGTGCTTTCTCCCGAGCGCGATGCCGGCCGGCTTTGCGTATCGGAATTCTCATCGGCGAAGAAGCGCCTTGCCTGGCGAAGCGGGGGGTCGCGTCGAAGGAATATTCAAATATGACGAGTTCCGCAATTCCGCACTCGGAGGAATGAGCGGCTGAATTAGCACGACTAACTTCTGCAGTCGTTGCTACAAGTTCGCTATTCGAGATGAAAAATGCATTCGTGTGTGCTGGCGAAATTATCAGTGCACGAGTAGCACTAAGATCGGTTCGATATGCTGGGTATATAATATGTAAACAATAAGAAAAAAACGTTTACGTCGATCGGCGAAGCGATGTGAAAGAGAAAAAGCACCAAAAGGTACGGAGTATAGGTATGGAATGACATAGGAAAATGGAAAATCGACGTATCCATCTTTCTCGGCTATAAAATATAACCGAACTTGGTCGAGCATGAACTTTGTCGAAATATGAACTTTGTCTACTGCGTGGACAGTAGGTGAAGCTGAAGCGGCAGTTTCTGTTTGCAAACCTGTACTTGGTGATGCATTAGCGTCAGTTGATTTTTCCATCTACTGAAGTTCTTCCCGAGCTACCTTCTTGTAAATTTTAAACGATCAGCGGTAACTATCGGACAAATACTATTTTACTGCGAGTTTCAAGCCACTTTTCAAATCACTCTGGATTTTACGCCAATCTTTATCCTCTCCGTCGCTGTACCACGCGAGAGAAATTAGAGTCAGGTCGTTCTGCGAACCGACATGACCTGAGTCTACCACCGGTCTGTCAACCGGCATACCTGTACCTGATAATCCCGGTGTTACACCCCGAAATTAGCCCTTATCCCTGATAATAATCGCGCAAAACTCTTCTCGCAACTTCGTCACGACGTCGATTTTCCACGACGAGACATTCTCACAATCTAATTCGTACGCGTTTGCAAATTGTCCGGTTGAACTCTCGCGCAAGAAATCGGAGATCTCTCTTCCTTCGCGTCGCGCGGACGCGATAACCGGATACCTGGATGGAAGGAGAAACGGCCGACTCGCGGTCGGACATTGAGACCTACACGCGTCGGCTACGTCGCGTCGCAAGAAACTTCGTGGGGAAACACTCGCGAAAAAATCACTCGCTCGGTTATCGAACACACGACGGCACAGCGCGGAGTTTATACATTGTCGCTCGCCGGGACTTACCGCCGCATGCCCTTTACAGTCGATCTTGTACATCAGCGCGGCTCTGATTCATGCCGCCGGCTCGCAGATCGGAGGCCTGTCTTGTACGTATCGCCGTTTATAAAAGTTTCATACGCGAAATACCCGGCCGTGCACGCGCGACTGTTATGCCCCGGAGACAAATTGGAGCGCGGACATGCTCCGTCTCTCTCCCTCTCTCGTTATATCTCTCCGGCTCCGCCGTTATCCACCGGCAGATCCGCTGTCAGGTGTCTCCGTGCGCGTCACCGATCGCCCGACCGGGCAATAAATCTATAATTAAATAATAAATAAGGAGCGCTCCCTAACCGTCCCAGTGACGACGAGCTCTCGCCCATATCGGGCCGCTTCTCCTTTTTGTCATCGCTCACTCCTCCCTGCGTCTTCGCGTGCTCCGTTTCCTCTTCATCCTCCTCCTCTCCCCCCCCCCCAATCCTCTGCGATCTCCTCGCCCGCATCGTCTACCTTTTTCTGCACGTTTCTCCGGCCGCTGTCGCGCACACACGCGCGATAAGGAAGACGCACGCCGCACGCATACGAAGATGAAAACGGTAGTGCTCGGTAGGATAGAGACGGAGGCGACGAGGAGCAACCGCCGGAGAGTCTGCGTTAAGACTCCCGCGGAATATCGCGGTGCATGAATAAAAGCGCGGCTGTGATCAAGGATCCGCCGATCGAACGGACGACGGTGCGTCCGCTTCTTCGCGAGGGACGGACGGCCGTTTTTGTCGCCCCCTCCCCCCGCGAACCCGGTCGCCTAGTTATGCTAACGTCAGTCGATCCAGACTTATTTGCCTCTCCGCACAGCGGGACATGGCACGCGAGTCCTCTTCTTATTCAGCGCCTTCTTCAACGCTTGCCCTTTATCGTCGTCGTCGCGTCGAAGTCGAATCGCGAAGTGCCGCCGCCGCCGCCCCGGCGATAAGCCCGGCGCATTCCGCGCGCTCGTAATTA